ATTTCCACATTCGATCAAATTGAAACAAAAACTGAAACAAAAAAGTCGCGTAGACGGTGAAGTAGTCTGGTCCAAAAATCATTGCAAGCTATGCTGCGGATCGCTAATCGGACCGAATAATGCGGTTCTAGACTAAGAGTTTGTCCATTTTCATTCGATATTGCGTGCTGGAAATTTTCTTAAAAATTTTTTTTTCAAAAGCCGTTGATATACTCTTAAAATATATAGGTCATCGAAGATTATCGCTTTATTTTCAAATATTCTTCCGTAAAAAAAATTCATGGATCAAAAACGATTACAAAGGATTTTCGTTCGCTAAAATGATGTCCATATAATCAATTATCATGGCAAAATTAGACAACTTAAGAATTTTTAATCAATTATACGGGATTTTTTTTTCAAAAAAATTATTATAATCTATTATAATGAATTAAATTTCAGTTTCGTTTTTATTTATAATCGATTTTTTTATATTCTATTCAAATTTTGCAATTTTCTGCAAGCTTCGAGCGCGAATGAGAGCGTTCATCCCATAATCACAATTCATTACCCCCATATCCCCCACTTCGTCCTCCCCTTCTCACCCCACCCCCGATACTCCCCTACCCCACGCTTCCACTCTCGCTACACCCCCCATGCTCCCCCACGTGCCTCATTATGCTCCCCAATGTCCCGCAATTTGCTAACCCGGCCCCAGGACCACCAACACCAGACCATCCAACCGCCCACCAGAAAAGGTAACAAGAGGGTAGGGGTTAAACGTGGGGGTTGTGAGGTAAAATAAGGGTTTTGCAAAAGCTTGCATAAAAGTATCTCAAAAATACGTACGTAACTTATTACAAAAACAATTGAGATTAAGAAAACGTACAAACTTAGCGAGACCACAAATTAACTAGTTCGAAATTAAAGTTTTTTTCAACAAGTGAAAACAGCTCACAAAAAGATTTATAAAATGTTGATTATAATAAATTATAACCAATTATAATGGATTGAGCTTCGTTCGATAAAAATTTTTGAAAAAAAAAATGATAAAAATAATTGATTGTTATTAATTAAAAATAGAATTTTTTGCTTTATCGCAAAAAATATTAGCAATATAAGTCATTTTTATTCAATTATAATTGATTATTTTCGAATGCAATATAAAAATGCAACTTAATTGATTATTCCCTGTGAAACTGCAATGCGGGCTTGTTAGTCGAACAGATGCGAAATTTTGTCTGAAGTTTTCTGCATTCTAATAACCGATTTAAAAAATAAAATGGTGAACAAGATTGATATCAGCTTCTCGGGTAGGCGGGAAAATTTGTTCGGAGGATTTGTGAGTAGCATTTGTAGTTGACAAAGTGAAACCCCATGCTATTCGAGCAATTATTTTTTGAAAATGTGCTTCCTCAACTAATTTTTAGCGACACATGGCAACGAGTTGCGCCTAAAAATGGTTCGACGAAAGCACGCAAACCATTAGCAAGTTAAAAGTATAAATCAACTTTGCAGCGAAGCCAAAAATCGTCTTTCAAATATTTTTTGAGATTGATAGAATCATAACTATTGGAGAAAAATATTCAAATACGAATCAAAAACGTCCGAAGCTATTATCAGGGATTTGACCCCCTAACGACCCAAAGGGTCCCCATTTGAACTTTTTTGAAATATCCATTTTTGGTGACTTTGCGCTAATTTTCAAGGCGCCTTGGGCGCTAATATTTACTTATTTTGAGAGGGGAGCGCGCGCCGAAGAAATGCAATTTTTTTGGTCTTTGGCCTGTTTGTTCAAAATTTAGCCAAAACAGGGGCTTTTTAGTGCTTTGAGGGGGCTCGGGAAATCAATTTGGTCGACCTAAAAAAAGTCGATAAAACTTTTGAAAACTTGAAAATCTGCCCTCCCACTTCGAGAACCGCCGCTGATTTAAGAAATAGAAAACTTCTATATTAATATAAATGAAGTATATTATCAATTATCAGTGTATCCGTATAAAAATCTGGCTCGACATTTTGGAGAAATTATTGTTGTAATTTTGACTTGAAGCACTATGCGAACTGTTTTATTATTCCAATAAAACGAGACTAAGCTTTTTTTCAATTAATCGTTTTCACAAGAATCTTTAAAATTAAATATTTTCAAAAAAAACCCTAGGAACAAAATAATCGAACTAACAGTGAAATTTGAAAAAGCTCTAAGGACATCCTTTGTAATCTACTATATCAATTTTAAGAAACTTAACTGTTTTTGAAAATTGAACAGATAATGTTAGAAACAAGTCAGACGAAACTCTCGTCTGAAATTCTCTGAGGGAAAACAATAACTTAGTCCAATAAAAAGGGGGGGGGGGCTTTTTATTGGACTAAGTTATTGTTTTCCCTCAGAGAATTTCAGATGAGAGTTTAGTCTGACTTGTTTCTAACATTATGGAGAGCTTAGCATTTTGAATTTTACTTACTGTTTTTTAAGAGTGGCCCTTTACATTAAGTTTAAAAATCTAGAAATTCGTAGATAAAAATCTCAATTCTTAATCAATATAAAAATTAGTCAACAAGCAAGATGTAAAAACATTGACGATGAAGAATGAATTCATTTTGTTGCTTTTATTCTCAGCTCTCTTTGTAAATCAAATCAAGTCATTGTGCAGCTCAAGTTTAGGAAAAAATGGTAACAAAATAACAAGACAAAAAAATAACTGAGTAGACAATATGTTTGTACACCTGGAGATTTTAAAATTGATTATATTAATTATTAAAGCTGCTCATCAAGCCCTGCGTTTTTGGCGCTAGTTTGAACTTTCTTCATAAGAAAAGGAAACTGAATTCATTAGAAGCTAACGGACATTTTTTGTTTCTCCTGACAAAAGTTTCTCACAATATTTTTGTGAAAATTATCTCTGCAAGATATAGATGTGTTCAGTTCAAACCTAACACTCTATGTCGCGTGTAGTTTAGTTTCCTGAAAAAAAGAAGGTTTGAAAACAGACAATGATTTCGTAATAATCATTTTAAAATCGAATAACGTGAACTGAAAAGTCCAATTAGATAGAGACTGATTTAGGATTTACCCGGCGATTGATTTTCAAAAATTTTGGCGACAATTTTTTGATGACCAAACTGAGTTTTCCAAACTCTCACAAATCACCTTAAGACCCTCTTTTAAATTCCGCGCGGCAGGCAAAACTTTAAAAAAAGGATAAATTTGATCTTTTTGGGCATTTTTTGGAATGTTTTAACGAAAAAATTGTGTTTATTGGCGCGCGCTGAAAAATTAAGGCAACAATTCGTTTAAAAAGTTGACAAAAATAATCGTTACTTGCAATTTTGATCCCAGTAGAGTACTAAATGATGTCATTTTATGATTTTTTTGATTGCACATTTTAGGTATTTTGACAAATAATTTTTGTCGATTTAATTTTTTAGCTTCAACATTTTTGAAAAAATATTTTTAAAACTTACGTTAATTGTCCATCTCTCAAACTCTCGGAGCAAAGCCAAATAAAGTTTTTGCTTAAAACAACTTATAGCAAAGAATTATAACACTACTATATTTCCACTAAAATGTTGTGTTTCGTTTAATAGAAATAAATGAACAATTATTTTTATGCCAAGTAAACTCATTTTGTTGGGGTTTCTGTGAGATGATCGTTTTTTTGTTGATTTAAATTTTTGATAATAATTGTACAACTCAGCGCAAAAGTTGTCTAAAAATATCCTTGAAAACAGGCGTTTTAGGGAGAAAACGTCAATTTGTGCATAATTTTGTCTGGTTTTTTGTGAAATTTTCTGAACAATAGGATAGAAAATTTAGATCAATAAATGAATGAGCTATAGAGTTTTAGAAAAGTGCAGTTGTTGTATGAATGCTTAATATGTTATTGTTTTACTGCATCTTTCTGAGGATTTTCAGTTTTTGTTGTCGATGAAAGAAACGTTTATATCACCAGTTGTTCCTTAAACTATGAAAATAACAGTTAAGCAAAAGCAGCTTATAACTTTTTAAATGGTGAAACACCGTCAGATGAAAAATGAAGACGAACTTTATTCTCAATTTGAACACTGAAGGAACCAAAAGCACAGAATTTTACCCACGGAGGACTTTCGAAATGTGTTTGAACGGTTTCAAAAGTACCCATTGCCAATGTCAAATCTGAAGTGCTTATATTTGATTGAACTAATTTTCAAATTATTCAATTTGGAATGGTTTTGAGCGCGGGATAAGTCATTCAGAAAAGCATAATCAAATGGCGTATTGAATGCATTAAAAACGAACTGAGTAGTTTCAACCGCTTTTGCTCTTGACCAATTACACTGCTCGGCAATCTGAAGTGTTGCGGATCAATCTCCCAGCTGTACACATTTTTAATTTGGCTTGCATTTTAAAAACTAGCCCGAAGATTTATATTTCGCAATCTCTTTAAGAATTAGAATCATTCCACAAATTTTACCAATTCAATTTGCCATTTGCAAAAACCCGTTGTTTAGGAAAACTTTTTTAACATCATTTGAGTTTTAAAAATGGAGCATGGATTACTTATATAAAATAAACAAGTATAAAACCATCGGACCACATATACTCCCCTATTTACTACGGAAGGGGAACTAAAAAAAACTTTTTCAAAGTTTATTTTTTTTTACTGTAACAACTTGAAAATGGTTAAAACCTGCATTTCACGTTTACATAATTTTTCCAGTTTGAAGCTTAGAATAAAAGTACCAATTGTTTATAAACCGATAACAGTTACAATTGAAGCATTAACAAAAAATTCTTAAGAGGGAGTTCAACTCGTATTATTGCAATGATATCACCAAAAAACTGAAACCAAATAATAATTTTAAGGCAACCATTCATTAAAAAAATCAACAAAAATAAACGTTACCTGCAACTTTGACTCCAATAGAGTCCTAATTAATGCCATCACTTGGATTTTTTGAAAGCATATTTCAGATAATTTGACAAAAGATTCAATTTTTTAGCTCCAATTTTTTTAGAAAAATTATTTTGAAAATCTACTCACGTCCATTGTCGATCTCACAAGTTGTCGAGGCAAAAGTAACTAAACGATTCCGTTCAAAGAAAACGACAAAGAAGTAAACACTAATAGGCAGATATTTTCTCAAAAAATATTTTCTTTCGTATACTAGTAAAAACAATTATTTTTATGTCAAGTAAACTCAATTTTTTGGATTTTCTGTGAAATGATTTGACTTTTTTTGACTTTTTTGTTCGACAATAATGGTAAGTGAATGGAGCAAAGTTGATTGAGAGTAATCAAAATGGCTCAAAGAATCTAAACTTTTCCGGACTAGCGGTGGAGCAAAATTTCAGACTTTTTATTTTAAAATGAACCCAGTTTAAATATGCGGCTTAGCGGTTAACAATGGGTGTGGTTTTTAGCCAGACCATCATATATGTGTATAATGACAGTGGCGACGACTTGTGCTTCATAAAATACCAATTAGCGAGCAGGGAGTAAGTAATAAAAAGTGATATTGGTCTATTGGGAGAGAAATAAAGAAAGAATCAGGGGTCTGTTTTTGTGTGGTATAACGCTAAACTCTTTTCTCTGAAGAGGCAATCAGTCATCCATATTAATAGCGCAACTTGGCAATAACGAAGAAAGAGAGGAAACGATAGTAATCAATAAAGTAAAGTTAAATGGGAATTCAGTTTCCGTCGAATAAAACACACGCACGGCCGTAAATGCTGGCCTTACAGGTAAATATCCAGCCTCTCTCAATTTTGGTATAGGTTTTTTTTTGTTTTAAAATTTCATTCGAAACAATCTTCATCATCGAACCATAACTATTGCATTCACTTGACCGCTCATTCGCGTCCTTTTTCGAATTGAGAAGAAAACACTAGTACATGGGAACCTGAAATATCAAGAAAAGAAATGTTCCAGTTATTGAAATTGTTTGTTATTGTTTTTTTTGGAGAAGGCCGAATAATTGATTTGACATCCTGGGTGGCCAACCGAGCGGAAGAGTAGAAAAATGAGACTCTGTCAGAGGTAAATCTGAAGTAGAAGAATAGCCTCCCTCCTTGCATTAACAAGAAATCAAAACAGATTAGTAGTATGTAGTATATCCATGGAATTGTTGTTTAAACAAATTATGATTAAGCAAAGTAAATAACCACTTTCTCAAACACGGATCAGGTTTCGACCATGAAACCTCAAAGCTTGAAAAACAGAAAAACAGGAGGAAAAACGAGAACTCATACGGAAACTTTGAATCACGGAAGCTTAATTAAACTCAGTGGCGGGCGGATTGCGGGGTGGTGGGGGGTATAGGCTGCGGACGCTTACTCTTTCCGTCAGGGATTCGACCCCCTCGCCAACCAACGGGTCCCCTCTTTGGTATTATTTTATGAAATCCATTTTCGACCGACCAACCTATAATTTTTTTCTAAGGGCGCCTTTGGCGCCAATATCTACTAATTTTGAAGAGGAGCACGCGCCGAAAAAACGTTATTTTTTGGTCTAAACTTTCCAAAAATTGTCCAAAAACTGCATTTCGACTTGTTTTTTTTTTTTAAATTTGCCTATGGCGCAGAAAAATATGATAAAAATGGTGTTTTTTTAATGCACTGAGAGCGCTCGGAAAATCAGTTTTTCGAAAAAATTTGAAAATCCGTCCCCACCCTCGAGAAACTTATCCTTCTCTAAACTTTTCATCCTCTAAGCTTAAACTCTTCTAGCTTTTGGCATTCGAACTGAATAGGCCATGACAAAAATATTTAGTTCTGATACATGACATCGCTCCACAATAAGAATGATGCTCAGGTGATGAGGAAATGGGGGGGGGGGGTGTTTGGAGGGGGAGGGAGAATTTGGAAGAAACAGGGAAGCGGAGGGATGAAAGAGAGCAAAAACTTTCGAGTCTGAAAAACTGTTAAATTAATATAGGTCCGAAATATTCATTATTTTTTCTTCAAATGGGTGTTGCTTCGAGGAAGTTATAACAGGCGATGATTTGAGTCTGCAACCATATGCTCAAAATTACAGAATTGCTCAATCGAAGTTGAAATTGAAATATAGATTGAAAAATGATGCAATGATGGCAATTTGAAATGACTATTTTCTTTGGAAGTTCTGTCACTTACACTTTTAATTGACCTATTTTCATTCCTGGTGTGAAATGACCGTGTTAAGCACAGATGCCACGTGAAGTGATATGAAAACAGTTCAAGTGATGTGAAAAAAATTGAAGGAAAAATGTTATTTTTTATCACTAACATATGCGACAGATATTTCCTTGATCTTCAATTCGCAAAATTAAAATATCTGAAGCAGGAAAAAGTGCTTGAAAAGTTAAACTGCTTATAAAGTAAATTTTCAAAATCGGCTGTAATTTATCTTACCAGCTTTGTAACTTCCGAATATATTTTGAATGTCCGTTTTTACTTCTTAAAGACTGTCAAATAAATATCAATTTCAACTTCACCAAGTTAAAAGTGAAATGAAAGTTGGAAAATGAAAAACAAAGTACGGAAAAGTAAAGTCCAAAAACCGGACAACTAAACTCCCACCAGAGTAGTAGTAGTAGAAGTAGTGTTTTAAACGTAGAAAAATTTTTTTTTACTGCTTATTTATAACCTTCAATAAAATTTGACGCCGCTTAAAGTCTAAAAGCTAAAGTTTGTAACTAAAACGAAAAGTTGTTTTTTGAATTTTCATCTCTGAAAAAATTCATTGTGATATATCACTGCATTTCCTGCTAGATACTTGTGTTATCTGAATCTGCACCGAAAAACAACAAAGTAATCAAAGATTCATCTGGCTTTTTGTTCAGCACAGAATCTTCCATCTATATTTTATGAAAAAAAAACACTTTATAAGTTTTTTTTCAAAACTGTCGTTTTTGTGCGTGGTGGATCTGAGCAAAGGATGTGGGCAAAAACTTAAATTGTAAGCTTATTTGATAGAAGTAGTATAACAAGCAATTCAGAAGACAGTGTTTTTGCAAAAAAATACTTGAAAAACAAAAACAAAATAAAACTAAGGATAGCGGATAACAGGTTGCCGACCACATTCATACAAAAAAAAAACAGAAAAAGAAACGTTTTCACTTTATTTTTTTTCTTCAAATTAGCATAAAATTTGATACGTGGTATGATCCAAAAACTGTACAGAAACGTAGAAATTAGTGAAATAAGCAAAATTGCAAATTTTGTTTTTCAAAAAATGAATATCAAACAAAATGTAAACAAAGTTTTCTTTAAAGTAAAATCAAGTTTTGTGAGAGTAAAAGTCTAAAATTTTTTTAAAAACTTACCTATAACGAACGCTGCTTGATCGCGTTACCTCAAAATTAGACAGAACAAATTTAAACGCTTTTTTTCTACACTGGGAATTTTTTTTGATAAATTTTAAAATTCTTTCGAAACACGACTGAAAAAGCTTCGAAATAAAATATCACTCAGCCAAGTCGAGGTTTTGCGTGAATCACAAAAAGAAGTAAAACACACCCTAATACAAGTTTCAACCAATTTGGTCGAAACAAATGGTTGGAACGGAAATCAATGATCAAAATTTTCAATAATTTTTTTTAATAAAAAAAATTTTGTGAAATTTTTGTGAAATTTTGAAAATCAATGATCAAAATTTTCAACAATTTTTTTTTAAAAGAAAAAAATTTACTGAAATTTTGAGGACTTTTAGTTTTAAGATGCGGCTAAATAAAGAAAACGTTGAAACTAATTTCAATGGAATGAAATTAAAAATTGATGTCTTGAACTAAAATTTTCTTGGTTATCCTTCGATGAAAAACCTACTAGATATGTTCAATTGCTCGAAATTAGACTGACGTTCAAAAATTTAAATCGATTTTCATCAAAACTGAGAAAATTTTTGCAATCATTTTAAATCCTTGGAATGAAGGCTAAAAGGGCTTTAATATGATAAATGACTCGACTCATTCCGATAAGTATTTGCGTTACCTAATTTTGCGTGCAAAAGCTCAATTATATGTTTCTTCTCTTTTTCAATGGTCGCAATAACAAAACATCTTAGACCCAATTGCCCATAGACCCTCGCCAGTTAGAGCTACTTTCCGAAAAAGTATGGATCAACCTACTTTGCGTGGTAGAAAAAAAAATGTGTTTATTGGTTTTTTAAACTCGATTAAAAAATTTCTGTACAACCAATAGAAAATAGGCTCACAAAAAATCGTGTTTCAAGTTTTTTTTGAGGTAGTTTTAAAGGTTTCGAAACCAAACTATTTCTTTGAAAAACTGTCCGCAAACTTCCTTTCAACGTCCATAAAGTTTTCTTGGTTTTTCTCATGATAGGTCTCAAGTGAAAATAGATAGTTGTTCTCATTTCCCGATAAATTGTCCTGGAGTGAACAAAGCTTGCAGTTGCGCATTCCGGATAAATAGGTGTTTCGGGTTCCAAACACAAATGAACTGTAATTTTGTTTAATCTACTGAACTGAACCAGTCCTCGTGAACAATTAAGAACTTTCGCTAGACAGGTTTTTCCTTGACGTGGACTCTTATGGCTCGGGTTATTTTTTCCACTGGGTTTGACTGGTATGGGATAACTGTTTGACAAAATGATACTGCTTTTAGTTAGAATTGGCTAAGAAAAAGTTGAGGTTGCTGATCCTTTTTCTTGAAATTGGCTTGATTCTGCATCAGTGTACTTTTTTTAACAGTACTCGAACAAATCGTTCATGCTGAAAAGAAACTTGCTTTTGCACTACCAAAAACTATACTGAGTGATAACGGCACCAACTTTGTAGGGGCTGCGAAAAAATTGAAAGAAATAATGACAACTTGGAACCAACAAAAAATGAAAGAGAAACTTAAGCTCAGTATTATAGTTTGGAAATTCACCCCCCTGGAGCTCCTCATTTTGAAGGGATCTGGGAGCATTTAGTCAGAAGTTGCAAAAGAGCAATGATTGCAGTTCTTGGATCTTGATCTATAACATATGAAATTTTGAGCACAACGATGTGTCAGGTAGAGCAAACACTGATCGCAAGACCACTGACACCGGTGAGCTACGACCCTAGTGATCTTAATGCACTGACTCTTTATCATTTTCTCATTGATAGACCCTATATATCTGTTTGTTATATCCCTAACGCTGAAAATTATCCCGACTTAAGAAAAGCCTTTAGAACTTTGCAAGCCTATACACACATGATTTGTCAAGCGAGTATCTTCCTCAGTGGAATACGAAAACTAAATGGAATGTAGAGCAGCATAGAACGCTGAGCGTGGCTGAAATAGTATGACTGATTGACGAATCGGTCAAACGTTGCGATTACAAAATGGCACGAGTGGTGGAGACAAACCCAACAAAAGTCGGTGTTATTCGTTCAGCGACTGTCATGACATCAACTGGGATCTAAAAGAGGCCCCCGGTGAAACCGGCGCCACTATTCTACTACAAGTATTTTCCAGAGGAAAACACAGCCGACGATGTTCGCGCCAGCACACAAACTGACGCTGAAGAAAATAACTTTGTTAATTTCAATTAAATCATAGTCAAATTGATTTACCCATTTTCTAAATTTAGTTCGTCCTTGGGCACATTTGACTCATATTGCTATGCCAAAAAGCCGGATTTGTTTATTCGATTTTTATTTGACCAAGTTGCTAAGTTTTGGTTTATATCTCTAAAAGGAACACATTTCCGGTGCGAACAATTTTCGTGGCCCTAAGACATGGAGCTTTTAGCTCATCATACTGATCCTTAATCTATGCTTATTTCACCGACCCGTGCAATTACTTTTGATTATTTTTTGCTTGGTTTGAAATTTGTTCTTCAAATTTTCAAAAAACATCGGTTTGAACATCATCAAGAAATTCTTGAAAAAATCCAATGATGAACTTGTGTTGAATTTTCATTTGAAGAATATCCAACCACTCAAGAATGAAAGCAACTTTGTCTCATTTTGAATTGTTCAAAAGCCGAGACTGGCAGAATCAAAGCAAATTTAGCGAACTAGCGTCCTAATGCAAATCTCATGTCTTAAATCTCGAAAATTTGGAAAAAAAAATATACAAAAATCTTCTCAAAACGCAACATCAGGCTGTGTGGGATGAAGCTAGGAGGGAAACTCGAAGACAGCTCAACAGCAGTTTTGCGATATGGAAAAAATGGAATGGGGAGCGTGTCGAGTCAAAAACCAGCTCAGAAATCCTGTTCGTATTTTTTTCTC